GGGGTCGGATGACTTAATCACTGCACGCTGCCACTCCAAATACTCCCCCCCCCCTCTCTCTCTCTCTCTCTCTCTCTCTCTCTCTCAGTCCAGCAAACACACACAGATACACAGTGACCAAGTCTGTGTCAGTATGAAGTCAAAGCACCCTCCCTTTCCCCCAGCTCTACTGCAAAGTTCATATCCAGTCCCTGTACATGTGTGTCTGTGGCTCTCTCAACCATTCCTCCCTGACATTCCACAGCAGATTTGGGATTGACTGATGGGATACAGAAACAGTGAATGTCACAGGAATATTCCTCGGATACTTTGGCTCAAACCTTCAGTGCTTTTCTTCTTTCAGACATTTGGCTGAAACTGTTGGGAAACAGCATCATTACACAGACTCTGCTACTGAAACATCCAATTTCTTTGGGGATTTTGGACATCCTAAACAAAAGGGTGAGTACAAATTTGACATACTAAAACAGAGTGAAATGTTCAATGGGACCAGCATCAGGTGCAGTGCTTTGTCTTCTGTGCTGATGACTGACAGGAGTGGGATTGATGAGGGCTTTTAGGTGACTTAAGGATGTTTTAGTGTGACATAAAAAGACAAATGGGATTTTAGTGGACAGTTTAACTGTATTTACCTGACGGACATTAAAATATGACTTTGCACATCCTTTAAAATGACTATAATTGTAATGTAGTAGGAAAGGGGTGAGTACTTCATCATACTTGACCTCAGTTTCTGCAAATATTACTGTGTCGCTGTGTCACAAGTAGCTCTTGGGTGGGAATCAATAGGAAGATTTTCCTAGAAAACTCTTTGAGGAAACAGGATGTGTGTTTGTGGATGTACATTACTAGACATTTTAATATCATTGATAACTATTACAGTTTTTGTTAATATTTTCAATTAGATTTTATTTTTATGTTTTCATTTTAAATATTTTATTATTTGAATATTTAAGTTTTAGTTAATATCAATTATCTTTATATAGTTTATAGTTTTCGTTTATTGAGTTTTAGTACTTAAACTAAAGAAAAATGTTTATATATATATATATATATATATATATATATATATTATATTTTATTTCATTTAATGTTTATTTTATTTCAAGTAATGAAAATGTTTTTATGGTTTTAGTTTTAGTTAACAATAATAACTAGACAGCACTAGACAGCTCCTGACTAGACAGCATTTTACAGTGACTGGGGATATGGATTGTACATATTATATTTCTTTGTTCAAACGACTCAGACTCAGTGCCAGAAAGCCTCTTTGATGTCATTTGTAATCTATATGAAGTGTGTCTGAAACCATATGGAGAGACAGTGATATTTCATTACCATCTGAAATCAATCAAGTTCAATGGGCTTGTATCATTTTAAGTTTTTACTTATTAAATTTAAACCTTTTTCTGCCAAAGCCACTAAATATTCACTAACAGAAAGTGAAGTGCTGTGAAGGGCTCAAAATGTGCTACCATGTTATATGTTGACCTTGTGCAAGAACAGCACAGATATGAGCATCTGGAGAGTATATTTCAGTCAGATCCATTTACTAAACAAGCATTGTGGGAGGCCCTCACCTCTCCCTCTTCACCTTTTCTCCTTTTCTAAATCCATTTTTCTCTCCTGGGCAACATGCACGCACGCACACACACACACACACACACACACACACAGGTTTGTTTTTGTGAAAAGTGGGGACATCCCATAGGCATAATGGTTTTTGTACTGTACAGATTGTATATTCTATTGCCCTACACCAACCCTACCCCTAAACCTACCCCTTACAGGAAACTTTGTGCTATTTCAGATTTTCAGTACACTCCATTCTGTGTGATTTATAAGCGTTTTGAAAAGTGGGGACATGGGGTAATGTCCTGAAAAGACACATTCTCCTTGTAATACCTATGTCATACCTTTGTCATTATACAAATTTATGTCCTCATTTGTCACAAAAAATGCGCACACACACACACACACACACACACACACACTGTCAAGGGAATGCTGCTTTCCTCATACCCTACAAGCACTAAGAAAGTTTAAAGTTAACAGTGGAAGAAAAAGAAAATGGGAAAGAGTCCAAAGAAAAGATTATGGCAAGAGAGGTGGGGAAAATAGAGGGGAATGGAACACTTTGGGAAGTAGGGGGACATGAATTTAAAAACGCACCACATTTTCCCTTCTGTGTTCATCGGATAAAAGAAATAACTGTAAATCCAATATTTTGTAACTTAACACAGAATTAAACTTGTATGATATCAGACTAGTTTAACAACATTTAACACATTTCAGTGTTTATTGTGTTTCTCCCCAGATTTAGATTATTTGATCTGGAAAACAGAGCCCAACAAGAGCTTTGGGAAACTTAAAATCAATGTGAGATGGCATGACTATTACATTATACACCCACAAGCATCATGTCATGGCTTTGTTGTTGCAGCTGGGATGACCTAATATGATGTTTGAGGAAGAGGGGGGAAAAAAATTAAAAACAAACAAATATATCAATGAAATAAAATAAAACCTAAAATAGAGATTTGCAACAATGTTAGAGTATTTATTCTGTATGTGTAATGTGTCTGTTCTGTATGAAGGTCAATGACAAAATCCTTTCAATTTGCTTCAAAACGTGTACATTCTTAGGCTGAAGATACACAGTGCACATTTTTGAGCAGTTTTGCTTGAGCACTTTCCCGTTGAGAATGGTTAACAAATTTCTATCTGGATACTTTAGATCGGCCGTGGGCCCTCTGTCTCACCTGGTTGCCTGTTGATGGCAACATTGCCCAAAGTTGCCCAGCAACATTGCTCAAAAAGGTGCCCCGTGTATCATCAGCCTTAGAAATGCAGTCTAACATGTATTAATGTTGATTTCTTATTTAAAAACATTTTAAAATGTAAAGTTCTCTTAAGTTTCTCTTGAGACTTTGAATAAAAAAAACCCCACCCTATTTCACAGGTTATTGTTATTTTTTCCCTCCTAGGCCGAAGAAGCGCTGTGACCTCTACAATGGCAGACGTCCTGCAGCTCAATACCAACAGTCTACAAGTGCCAGGTAACGTTTCATTAAACTTATTCTTTGGGATTTGATACTGTAATTCAGACTTGAGAAAATCGTATTTGTAGAATATCCTAAGGAACCTTGTAGATTATAATTGTTATTTACATCTACAGTATATAACCAGAATTTATATACAGAAGACATGTAAAACAAAATGCACAGCTGAATAGAAACCTGTGGTCATCCACATTACATTTTGCTGTAATTCCTGACTATTCCATCAACAATACTGAACAGGGGTGTGACCCTCTCTTATCTACGCGCTGCACTCTGAGAATATCTGTACACGTCGATAACATTCCTGTCATACCCTTGAGTAAATTCCACCCCTTGTTTGAGTGTGTGCTCATTTTCAGGCACATTAAAGCGACCTTGATGGAGGGGTCACTACAAGTTGATAAAGTATTTGCCATGGAATTGCATTTTGATCTGGAAAATGTTCGTAAATTTGACCACGTTAGGAATTATGGAATATTCGGAATTCTGCCCCTGAATTTCCTTGTCAGTGTTGGCACAGATATGAGACACCAAAAATCAAAGTGTTTTTTCATGACAGTCTTGGGAAGAACACTGAATACTCATTTTAACTTCTATGTTTTGTTTGTAGTTATTCCTATTTAGTTATTTAGCATTATATAAAGAAATCCAAAAGATGGCATGAAATGAAAATTCACTGTATCATCATCTATTTTCTAAATGCATGTTATTGATTGATTTTTTTTTTTTTACTTTGTCATTTTTAAATGCCATAACTCGATGTTCCAGTGACATAAGTCCTCAGTTGACTGCAAGCTGGCATTCAGATCTACCTCTGTTGTTAAGTGCAATGCCCATATCTCAAAATCCAATTAATATTCAATGGATAGAACCAAGTCCCTTTTCGATGAGCTATTGTACATGTCACAAAAGAGAGGAAAATATCTGTTTCTACTAATTTTTCCAATGAAAACCATCTGCTGGAAATTCTGAAACTGGTAAACACATGCCAGTTGGGCTTAAATGCCCAGGCAACCAATATGGAATTTTCCAGAAATCTTTGATTTCTCTTAATCGCTCATCCACAATTAAGAGTCCTGAACTTGTGTTTTCCTGTACAATACATGAGCAGCTTACTAAGTTAAAGACTTCCAGGATTTCTTCCTTTATCTCTAATTCCTTCTCTTTCATCTTGTCTTCTTCAGGTGAAGATAGATCAGCCTCTACATCTCCATCTGGTTCTCCATCTCCTTCCAGAAATGAGTGCAGTATCACTCCTCTTACTCCCTCCCCCTCTCCAGTAAGATCCCAACAGACACAGTGCTCTACCATGCACCCTCTGTAGTGCTTTAAATGATAAACATTGTCCTCAGAACTGGATTAAATGCCAAATCAGATGCTTTAAACTACAGCAATGTTGAAAGAAGATATGGTACCCCCAGAAATATGCAATTATGCTTCTTTACTTAACACTAAGTCAGTTGGTTTAAAGCAGCACTATCATTAGCTAATCCTCCAGTCTGCAATCTGGGGCAGCACAAACATTTTTTGTTTGAAAGCCAACTTACTCCTCGCTTAAAGCCAGTGTTGGGGAGTACATAGTTATATGTAATGGCGTTACATAATTTAATTACAACATAAATGTAACTGTAATCCAATTACAGTTACTGAGAAAAAAAAGTGTAATTAAATTATAGTTACTTATGAAAATGTTAACAATTACAAAGTGGGTTACATCTGAATATTTTCTGTAAAAAGCTATGATATGTTGAATAATATGATTTTGTTGCTTTGCCTATTTTTGATGGGCATGATGCCTCCTGCTATTTAAAGGCTGTTTAGTAAAGCGATGCTATTCTGATGCTTTTGATTGGTTCTCGTTTGAATTGGCAGCGCACCATGACTGCCAATTCCATCAATCCATATTGCCGCTGAAAGCTTTAGGCTACAACCTGTTAAAGTAAAGCAATTGAAATAGTTACACTACTTATTACAATTTAAATAGAGTAACCTGTAATCTGTAACCTATTACATTTCCAAAGTAACCTTCCCAACACTGCTTAAAGGTGAAGTGTGTCATTTCTGTGCAACTAGTCACAAAAAACTGGTTTCTCAAACACTCAACCGGTCTGCCATTGGTTGGACAACACTTAGTCCCGACTCAAACTCATGCCATTGGTTTAACCAATAGCCCTGTCTCAGTGGTCTTTCACATGAAACGTGTTTTTGTATTCCACTGTGCTGCTCTATTGTTGTTTTTGATGTCTTTAAACGCTGCACTCATGTCTCACGTCTTTTTAGCATCTCACAAATGACATGCAATTCTAAAAACATGGCTGTCAGGTTAAAAAAAGTTCAACTTTTAAAAAACCTGTCTTGAGAGCTTGTTTTTTTTCCAATTCCAATGCCTGTGCCTTGCGTTTTTCTATGCAAAAACGCATTTGTGTGAACAAATGCATCCCCATTCCCTCCTTTTTACATTGTTTTTCTATTTGGATATGCACTGTACAGACGCTTTTCTCTTTTGCGCTTGTGTATTTTGAAGTGTCTTGCATACAACACAGCATTCTAAAAAATTAGGTGTTCAAGTTACAGAATTTCAGCTTTTTAAAAATGTGTTCAGCCTTTAAAAAAGGACCTTGCTTTTCTTTCCCATTCCAGTGCTGTGCATCTTGCATTTTAAATGTCACCTTTATTTTCTGCGTTCCACTGCGCTACATTTTCTTTGTGTCTTATGCAGCTTCTTTTGCATGACGCAGTGTTCTAAAAAGCGCTAAAAGAAATTCAACTTTTAAAAAATGTATACTTTGCCTTTTTTTATACATTGTCCTGCATCTCACATTTTATACACAAAAACATATGTACAAATAAGCTTTACATGATTCAAGTTACAGAATTTCAGCTTTTTAAAAATGTGTTCAGCCTTTAAAAAAGGACCTTGCTTTTCTTTCCCATTCCAGTGCTGTGCATCTTGCATTTTAAATGTCACCTTTATTTTCTGCGTTCCACTGCGTTCTGTTCTAAAAAGCGCTAAAAGAAATTCAACTTTTAAAAAATGTATACTTTGCCTTTTTTTATACATTGTCCTGCATCTCACATTTTATACACAAAAACATATGTACAAATAAGCGTTACATGGCTAAAAAAAAGTGATAAGACCATAACCTGAAAATAATACATGATACATTCCACTCAATGTAAAACTCGGGTCAGGGAAATGATCTAGAGACAAGAGAAGAGAGGGAGAAGGTGGGGTCAGCTACTCTCCATACCAGGGAGAACCTTTTGTAAAGCCACCCTTTGAAAAAGAGATAAGGCAATATATTTATTTTCTTTCTGTCTACCTTGTTTTCCCTCTGCAGCGGACAGAGGTTAGACCATGTGTGGCTCGTCCATTTTCTGTGGTTGTTGCTATAGATTTTGGCACCACCTCCAGTGGCTATGCATTCAGTTTCACAAAAGATCCTGAGACCATTCACATGATGAGGTATGACATCAGCACACAAACATTGTCTAACCTGAAGTTATTCTAACTCCCCCATCCTTGTCTTACCCTACACTTCTTAGTTTTTTTTTTCTTTTTTTCACAGACGGTGGGAGGATGGTGACCCTGGTGTAACCAATCAGAAGAGTCCAACTTGTCTGCTGCTGACCCCTGACCTCCGGTTCCACAGTTTTGGCTTTGCAGCTCGAGACAGCTATCATGACCTTGACCCTGAGGAAGCCAGGCATTGGCTCTACTTTGACAAATTCAAAATGAAAATCCACAGCACTAGTGTAAGCAGAGCATCTATTGTATTTTGACTGTTGTTGATATATATATATTTGTTCAGGTAGAGTAATTGCTCAGCTTGGGGGAATCAAGCATGTTTGTTAAGGTATCACAACACTGTCAAACATATATATACTGTCAGTCTACAGCAGAGGATAAGGGAAGTGTATTATTTATGTCACATCTCGGTAAGCATTTCTGCAGCAGACTATTTTATTTTCAATAGGATCTCACTATGGAGACCGAGCTGGAGTCTGTTAGTGGAAGAAGAGTTCGGGCTATTGAGGTGTTTGCTTACGCCTTGAGGTTCTTCAGAGAACATGCTTTAAAGGTGAACATAAACACACAAAACAGAAAAAAACATTTTTAAACATATCTACTCATGCAGTATACAGACACACACATATCAATAAGACAATACATTTATATTTTATAATTATTTACCTTACATATATTTAATATTAGCTAGTTAACAATAGCACAAGTCAAGCACACCACCATGTACTGAAGTATTTTGCAAAGAGACTACCATTGTGATGAAGAGTGCACAGTCATTACTTTATAAATTAAACAACTTAGAGTCTTAATGGTGTTTGGCCAATCACCATCCTAACCACAGGCTCTACTCTTCAGCACAATGGTAACCCCAAAAACTCAGACATACCAGAAACCCTTTTAAATTCCAAAATAATCTAACATTAAACACTAATAGAACTCCCCCTATAATAATATTGAGCAAAAACACATGAAATAACATACTCTCCTTTACTCTCCTTTAATAGTCAGAAACAAAGCATGCTGGGAACTAGAAATCTGCTATAACTCATTCACTTCAAGAAACCTACCTGCAAAGTTACAATAACGTAAAAAGTTTTAGGCACTTGTGTAAAAATGCTGTAAAGTGAGGATGCTTTCAAAAATAAATGTTCTGTTTACCCTGGGGGGTTACTGCTAGGCTGCATTGATGCACAGGGAGTTCTTGCCCAGAACAGAACCATACCGGCAATACAAACTGTATGCTAATTGTCAATCATCTTTGACATAGTGGTCCTGACAGAAATATATATATATATATATTACTATATTAAATATAGTCTTTTGCTTAACAAGCTAGTAACCCTACACAGGACTAAAAGTTTGCAGAATAAATTGATATTAATTACATAATTTCTAATATATATAAAAAGTATTTTCAGATACAATTTCTTTGTACTTGTACTTGATTACTCAAGAATTATTTGAACATTTGTGAAACATTTTTAAAGTCTGTTTGTCTTGGTTATTCCTTTATTTATTTAGGCATTTGTTGCCTATTTTAGTTGTGCAACTTAAATTTCCCTCCAGGGCCAGACTGAACATGAACAACCACTATAATGCAGAGCAGTAGTGTGCTGTGGCTTTGCTCCAGATCTTTCAGGATGCACTTTTCCTTCACTCAAACAAGAACACATCCAGTCTAGGTGAAGAGTGGGGGTTTGGGGAGGTGGAGGTTCTGGGCCAATCTGTAGTCAGACTTTCCTGGACCCAAACCTTCTTCCTCCTTCTTCCTGGAGCCCCTGAAGGCTTGTGGGAAAACATTAACATGGAGATTTCGCCCCCAACCTCTGGTCATGGATGAGGGTCATGAATTTGACATATTTTTTAGAGCGGAACGGAAATAAGGGATATCAATACCTAATAGACGTATGAAAATATTATCTGTGGAATGTAGTTTAGATAAGAGTTGGAAAAGTAGTAATATTTGTGTGTGTTTTTCAGGAGGTGAAGGACCAGTCTTCCTCTATGCTGGAAGGTAATGAAGTACGGTGGGTCATCACTGTTCCTGCGGTGTGGCGGCAGCCAGCTAAGCAGTTCATGCGAGAAGCTGCGTATTTGGTAATGTTGGATAACTGATCTGAGAAAACTGAAAAATTACACATTCAAATACAAACACTTTCTTTCTCTTGTTCTTTCTCCTTTTTTTCTTCCTCTTTTTCTTTTTCTTTCTCTTTTTTCTCTTTCTCGCTTTCTTCTGTCATGCAGACATACACAAAAGCATACTCCCATATTGAACATAATGTCCTGCTGCCCCCCAGTAAAGTTCAGAAAATGTGCGTATATGAAAAAGAATGCAAAAGTCACTGCACACATACAGTAAATGGGAATGTTGAAAGACTTTTGTATGAGCGTGAGAGGTATAGTGTGCCAAGAGGGCACTATAACCTGATATCCATCATATATGTGTGTGTTTGCCTGTGTGAAATATACTGTACTGCAGAGTTGTAAATTTCCCTATGAGCAAAACCCTAAGAAATCAATCACACAGATTATTTTTGGCACAATATGTACATCTCAGGCCATACAACAATCAACAGTGCAGGAATTGTCATTAAAGAAAAAAATACTGTTGATTCAATCACTAACAGCTGCTCAGACTCTGAGACCACTGGGATCTTCCTTCATTATACCCAAAACAGCCAACAGCTCTACATACTAAACAGGCTCATGTCAGAACAGTATTTGTTCTAGTAGCCTCAGATCTTTATTTCTCTCTACCTTACTAGAGGTAAGGCAGATTGAGGTTAATTTTCTCTATGCAGTGTCACAGAGGTTAAACAACGTATGAGACCAGCACACAAACACAGGAAACCACGCCTGTCCTAGCCAAGCAGGAGAGGGGGAACGAGGCAGCCCACCGTCTCCCATTATAACTCCATGACCAATTGGGGCAGTTAACCGATACTTTCACTGTGTGTGGACACCTTTTCTTCTGTTACTTTGGTTACCTTGCTACCAGTTGTGCTCATTGTTCTCATGTTTTATGAAAAAATGCGAGCAGTACTTGATCCTAAATATTGCCAGTTGATGCTAGGGTGTAGTGGGTGGGGGCAAGGGTGTTACTGTACAGGTGCTCTGTTGTTGCTAAAATGTTCTGGGTGGTTTCTAGGGTATTGCTGTGGTGTTTAATAACTGTCCCAAGTAAAAAGAACCTAAAAGTTATTGTATCAGCTTTTATTTGTCCAGACAGACAATCAATTGATGTGTTAGTGGTGGGGATTTTTCAGTGACTCTTTGAGCAGGTTACATTGTTACACCAGTAGGTGGAAATAAATGTCTTTATGAGGACTCACTGAACCATTCACTTGCCCGATTTATTCAAAACACTGATTTATTCTGAAAATAAACATGTGACTGTCAGTATGAGTGAGTCATTTAATCGCTCACTCAACCATTTCATTCAAAGCACTTTGAATTCATTCAGGAGGAACCAAAAAAGTGTCTGTCTGTATGAGTGTATCATCAAATCATTCACTTAACTGACTTGTTCAAAACACTGATTCATTCAGGAAAACAGACACTTAGAAACACTTGATACTGAACTATTTATTAATGTAAGTTACTCAATATTAATTCAAACCCTACTAAGACTCATGTTTTTTTTATCCTATGGTAGGCAGGTTTGGTGACTCCAGATTCTCCTGAGCAGCTCCTCATTGCTCTCGAACCAGAAGCTGCATCTATCTACTGCAGGAAGCTCCGTCTATACCAGGTCATTGACCTCAGTCAACGACCAGTAATCAACGGTTTAGATGTGGACGGGTCTCGCCCTTTCGATTCCAGTTTTAGGCAAGGTAAGAAAAGATTTTTGCTTTCTTTTTCTCAAATGATTATACAAAATAACTAGCTCTTACATTGATCTAGATCTCTTGTGTTGAGTGTATAATGTTTCTCTATAAACATTAATGGGAACCATGCTCAAAGCATGGGGGAAACAGGATCGTTTTTCATCCCTTGAAAATAGAGTACTGTTTTTGTTTTCTGTGGGTATGTGCGAGTTTATGCATGGAGGATGGCTAGATCAGGGTCAAACTGATTCAGAACTAAGTGGGTCTTAGTGAGTATGAGAGCATGTGGTTTGGGTTAAATCAGAAAGAGAGAAGATGACATTTTCTTTAAGGTTAGAGTGTCTCCTGAGGTCACAGTGCTGAAAAAAAGCCTCTTTGAAGGATTGACACTGTGTTTCTTATCAGGGTTTGACAAAAGATAAAATGGTACTCTTTTACAAACACTCTTTTCATATTTACTGTATATACAGCAAAAATAAAGTACTGTAGACATGACCATCATTCCTGCTTTTACACTCAAACAAAATATACTTACACTCATACACACACACACACACACACACACACATTTAACATCATAATAGGAACAAGGTGCTGCAGACCATGAGCTCACCCTCCTCTTGACTGCTTACACTAGTTTCACTGAATGGTTTCTTTTATTCTTTCTTGCATTTTTGCTTGCTTGCTTATTCTGAAGTATTTGAGAATATGTATGTTCCAAAATTTAGTCTTCAAAACATGTTTTACAATTGTACAACATTTACTGGCACAGGAAATCAAGGGACACAAACACACACTCCAGCTTCGGGAACTTTAGCTCCCAAGGGATTTTTTTTGGAGTCACTTTTCTTTTCTTTGCTTTCCTTTGCTTTTCTTTACACTTAACTGGCTTCAGGGGGTTTTTTTGTGTTTTTTTTTGGTGAAAAACCTTTTTGGAATTTCTTTTTACCATGCCTTTTCTTTGCTGCTTTTTATGTCTTGATCGTGGTGATTTATTTGACACATATAGAAACTGCCTTTCTTAAAAAAAGTTGTATTTACTTATCTTAAAACTATAATGATACAAAAGTGCCCACAATTGAGTCTATAATTGTCTGTCCTCTCATCTATATTAAGACATTGGACACGTTATTTATCTGTCTCTGTTGTATCAAATCACATGGGTTTTAGAGTAATTAAAGTTCAAATTGGTTTGCTTTTACTTTTTCCTTCTCTGTGTCTTTGTCTTGTTTCAAAAGCTTTTTCATATTGTAATGGGTTCCAGATTGTCCCAAAAGTGTGGTTAAGTTTTCTATTCTCTGTGTGTTTGGTGCAAGCTGTGGGAATGTAAGGCAGCATGTCCTCCAGTGTTCACAGACTGTACCTGAAAGGAAACGTTAGAAGTAATGCAATCATAAAAAGAGTATTTTTCAGGAAAAATAGCAAACAGTATAGCCTTAGTAACCCCAAAAGTGAAGCAGAGATCATTCTTAGTTTAGCAGGTCATTATTCACTAAAAGCACCCGCTATAAAACTACAACCATGAAACAAGCCTGTTTTATTAGGTATAAGAGCAATACTAAAAGTAAATTCTGCTCACATCTCAAAGATCGTGTTATATAAACAAAGGCTTTAGGTTCATTAAATCAGGGTCTGTTTAGCAGGCTGCTTTATTACTGATCCAGGTAACTGCAATCTCTCCCCTTCTCTTTCGGTCTCTCTCTCACTCTTTGAGTTTATTGACTCTAATGTGATAAGGTTTTGATTAAAGCTGCCCATGTGTGAGTGATTGACAGAATAAAGGAGGCCAATCTGTCTTTCAGCCCGCGAGCAGCTCCGCAGAGCCAGGCATAGCCGCACTTTTCTGGTGGAGAGTGGTACTGGAGAATTGTGGTCTGAGATGCAGACAGGTAATAGATGGAGACACACACTCATCTAGCTATCAAACATACAATAGACTTCTATTATGTATATATAGACAGCTAAATTCTATGGATAGTCATTTTGTTCTCAGATATAGTATGTTTGAAACAGACATCTTGATGCCTGTAGGCCATATAGAGTGCCGATACTGTGACAAATTAAACATGAAGATGCTTTAATAAAGACACATGAATATCTTTTTTTATTTGTGATATTATCAAGGTTTCAAACAGGCAAACAAAACTGAAAAAATCAAAACAATACTTTCCAAAATAAAAATTTCCAGAGTACTGTTTATATTTCACGTTAGACGAAATCCTTTTATCTTGAAATAAGATTTCCCCCATCACACTTTCTTGTTCCTTATGTGCATATAATATTGTTTAGATGACTCGAATTGCTTTTCATGTGTAAGAGACCCTCATTATGGAACAATCATCAGTATGTTATTACTGGCTGCACAGTCTGAGCGCATGGCTGCAGTGTGTGTGCGTCCAGTGCTCTCTGCATGACTGGCACAATGACAAGGTGCAGGGTCAAAATAATCAGATCTTTAGCTCCAGATGTTTCCTGGAGAGAGAGGGATCGAGAGGGAGAATTTATTACAATCTAACTCACAATACTGAAAATACAGATCTCCTTTGCTTTCTCATAGTCTCTTGCAGTTCTTAATAGTGCACACATGTGTACCGACACACAAAGAGGAGGCCATTTCCCATGAAACTGAGTTATTACACCACTGTAAACAAACAAGAAACACACTTTCCTCTCTCTACTCCTGTGTAGTTGAGTAAAGTCAGTTGGCAGGAGCCAAGCTAAGCCACTCTTATCTCAGACTGTATCATAAATGTCTGAAGGCTGTTTGGGAGAAGATCTTCCTGACTGCAGCAGGTCAGAGAGAGAGAGAAGAACAAGGTTGTTATTTAAACAAGTCTTGTTGTTTTAAAAAAATCTGGTAACAGTTACTAAGCAGGAAACAGATGACTGACTATGGTTAACTGTGTGTATTCTCAAAGGTGACCGGTACATTGTGGCAGACTGTGGTGGTGGGACAGTGGATCTGACGGTGCATCAGATTGAGCAGCCACAGGGCACTCTGAAGGAGCTTTACAAAGTCTCAGGTCAGTTGAGAACCAAATCTAACTCCTTCACACTCATACAACTTTGGTGACATAATGCCACATAGACTGCCAGGTAGTGTTTGGTATGATGTGTTTGTGTGGGATTGGCAAAAAGACACACCAAGGGTGCATGTAAACACTCATCTGAAACCTAAGATCTTAAGTGGGGGGGGTCCCTACAGTCTTCTGGACTTCACAGACATGCCCACACCATGACCATCTCAAGTCCACAAGTATACATCAAGTTTGGGACAAGAAACGTACCACCAGCCTATCAGATTCTACAGGTTTAGGGCAGGGTTGTTCAGTCCTGCTCCAGGAGGGTCACCTTCTAGCAGAGTTTGGCTCCAGCCCTAATTAAACACACCGGGACCAGCTAATCGACGTTTTCAGGATCACTAGAAACTTCCAAGATGGTGTGTTGTAGCTAATCTCTACATAAAAGTGGCCCTTCAGGATCAGGATAGGACACCTCTTGTTTAGGGAAAACGTTAGGCTTTGCGCTCTGGTGGTTCAAACAATATTCTTATCAGTCTATCACTTCCGTTTGATTTTAGGGATAGTTAATGGTTAGAGTTAGTGTCAGGGTTAAGAATTGTTGGTTACACTTTACTTGAAGGGGTGTGCATAAGACTGACATGACACCTTCATAATCATGACATGACACCTACATAATCATGACATGACACATGTCATGAATATGAAGGGTTTTTATGCATGTTTATGACAACTGTCATTAAGTGTCATTCACTCAGTTATGTAATTTTTAATGCAAAGATGACATTGTTTGAGATGTCTTTGTTATGGGCTATGGTTAGGGGTAAGAGTAGGGGTAGAGTTAGGTCAAATAATGTCATATTTGCATTAAAAATGACATAACTAAGCGAATGACACTTAATGACAGTTGTCATAAACATGCATAAAACCTCTTTCATATTCATGACATGTGTCATGTCATGATTATGAAGGTGTCATGTCAGTCTTATGCACACCCCTTCAAGTAAAGTGTTACCGAATTGTTTTTTCAAGACCTGTTGATCCAGTAGCATATACTGATAGGCAAAATCATGATTCCAATAGATGGAATGGAATCAAAACTGGTCAGTCTTCAGTGCTGAATTTAGCCACGCCCTGTTATTTCACTCCAGAGGGTGAAGGCTGTCCTGATTGGTCACAGTATTCCCAAAGGATTTAGTTTAGGACCTGAAGCAAACTGAGGTGAGCATGCAAATCTAGTGGCATATAGCCCTAACATAAATGGTACATATACATGTTTCAATTTCAGGGGGTCCTTATGGAGCAGTTGGTGTGGATCTTGCCTTCGAGGCCATGTTGTGTCAGATCTTTGGGGCAGACTTCATTGAGAGTTTTAAAGCTAAACGTCCAGCAGCTTGGGTAGACCTTACTATTGCATTTGAAGCCCGAAAGCGCACAGCAGCTCCTGGCCGGGCCAACTCATTAAACATCTCGCTGCCTTTTTCCTTCATTGACTTCTACAAGCGAGACCGGGGGCAGAGTGTGGAGACTGCCCTGCGCAAGAGCAAGTACGTCTGACTCACTGAGGGCTTTATTTGCTAAATTATGTCTTTGAAAGTGTGAGTATGTCTCTAACAATGTGTAATGTTTTTGCCAGGATGAATTTTATAAAGTGGTCATCTCAAGGGATGCTGAGGCTGTCTGCGGAAGCCATGAATGAGCTTTTCCAGCCGACCATCAACAACATCATAAAACATGTTGGTAAGACACATTGTCTCTCAAACAAACACGGTGGTAAATTCTCTAAAGTCTTATCAATTCCTCTCACTCTAACAGAGAACCTGATGCAGAAGGAGGAAGTAAAGGATGTGCGTTTTCTCTTCTTGGTTGGAGGATTTGCAGAGTCACCCATGCTTCAGCGTGCGGCACAGAATGCACTAGGGAGCAACTGCCGTATTATAATTCCACATGACGTAGGTCTAACCATCCTGAAGGGTGCAGTCCTATTTGGTCTAGACCCCACTGTTGTCCGTGTACGCCGTTGCCCATTAACTTACGGTGTTGGGGTTTTGAACCGCTTTGTGGAAGGCCGACACCCTCGTGATAAGCTTCTCATCAAAGATGGCCGAGAATGGTGCACTGACATCCTGGACCACTTTGTAAGCGTTGATCAATCGGTGGCCTTGGGAGAGGTGGTGAGGCGGAGCTACACTCCAGCGAGAATGGGACAAAGGAAGATCATCATCAACATCTACTGCAGCGACACTGATGACATAACCTACATTACCGACCCCGGGGTGAGGAAGTGTGGTGCCATCACGCTAGACCTGCTTGAGTCAGGGGCAGTGGCAGCTAGCGCTGGTGATAACGATAAAGGACCAGCATTTGAACGCAGGGAGATTCGCACGACGATGCAGTTTGGAGACACTGAGATCAAAGTCACAGCTGTTGATGTGGCAACCGGCCGACTGGTGTGGGCATCAATTGACTTCCTGTCCAACTGATCCTATTGTGCTGTTTCTGGAGAGAACTGGAATGCGAATGTGATGGACATTTAACAACAGTTAATCTCATCAATTAATGGCTTAAATAATAGCTTTGAGGTTGAAGATCTGGATATCCAAGGATTGCTGATATAAAAGCTGGAAGGCTGAACGATAACCTGGAGCGTTACTGGGATTCCCTTTTATTGTGCAAAGCACCAGCTCCGAGGACTGTCTCCTATACGAAGTGTACTGTAAGCTTTGGATAAGAAAGATTCTAAATTATATGAAATGAGGCAAAGAATTAACCAGATCTTCGGACGGGAATTTCATTTACATTATCAAATAATCTGAAATATTTGCCATAAGGTCTGTAAATGCATTTCCTATTAGTTTATTAACACAGAGGAACTAGTTTCAGTTCAGTTACTCCTTGTGGTGATTTGCAGTAAGTAGATATTATATTCCTTCTAAGATTGCAGACACTTAGTATTTAAATTGATTTATCAATTAAAGCCACTTAAGTTTTATTTTTTTAAACATTCTCTATAACTATACATGAATCAATTAAAAACTTCAAAGACAAAATCAACACATCTTTAGTTTTAAATGATGGTTGCGCCACCTGGAGATAGGAAGAGGAAGTGATCAATCAGAATGAGGTTAAGAGTACAAAACAGGCATTTACATCATACAAACCTTTTTTTTTTTGGCCTGGTTATAATTGTAGTTTTACTTATTTGCTCCTCAAAGAATCTGATTGAGACATTTAGGTTTGTTCTTTATTATATGTAGGCACAGTTAAAATAGCTAAAGCTTATGAAACACTACCTCTCAAGACTTTAAATTATACCAGGCCTAAACTTACCGTTATTATAACATGTTTATGCTTTCATCTGTCTTGTATAAGCAATATAGTTGGCTTTTTATCTATACAGGAGCTAAGAAAACTGTTATTATTTTATAAGAAACCTGCTTCAAGGATGTTGGTAATACTACTATTAAATATGCTGGACATTAGTCTGACACAAGGCAATCAAGCTAGGCGTTAAATCACATCACACTGTTGGCATATAGTCCTAAAAGTCAGATTTTAGTTTAATACATACTATGAAACTGTTTGTATACTAAATCACAATGCCTCAAAATAAAATATATTTTTCTTTAAATGCTATAATGTAAAACATTTAAATTCTAATGTATACAGTCTCTTACCACTCATGACTGAAAGGTTGTCACAAAAAAAAGAATAAAATCACACAGAAATGTTGAGAAGCAAAAGTACTGATTTTAATGGTCCAATAAATAGTTCCACCGAATGACCAATTCAGGAACGATCTCAGCAGAGTGCCTGCATATCAGTGCTTATACAGATCTACAAACTGATCACTCTTTATTTGAGTGTCTGTATGGTTTGTGTGTGTTCTCAGACTTTCACAAAACATTCACATCTCCAACTATCCAACAGATGATTCAATCCCCATCAATCTGGAACAATTAGCAAAAATGACATTTTATTCTGTTTTCGCCTTTGTAAACACAAAGAAATGCTTCGATTTAGTGGGACCAGAGAGTAACACAAACGGGTCAAAAAAAAAATCAAGGCCCAATAAGTGGCCAGCATTTGTTTTGACTGAGTCCAGAGGCTCTGCCCAAGACACTAGTGGGGATGGGTGTAGATTAGTGGGCGTGTGGGGGTCTACCGCGACCTCTTCCTCTGCCAGCAGGTGCCGCTGGGCCGTCAGCAGTAGAGCGAGGGTTCTTGATGGTCTCATCCACTGAGAGGATGAGACATGCAGCTTCAGAAGCAGCGGTCAGGGCATTGATACGCACAACAGAGGGCTCCCATACACATCCCTGGAAGTTATCTGATATATCTTCATTATTCACGTCCACTCCATACCATATACCACCCTAAGGAAAATGGAGATTATGCAAATGGATTCATTATAACACTGACATTTAATTGAGATGATTTAATAAAAATAAAAAAAAGCCTCGATTTGTGTATGTACCTGTGCATGCTTGGCCCTCAGTTTGTTTAGGATATTGGTAGCATCAAAGCCTGCGTTGTCACACAGCTGTCTGGGAATAATCTCCAGGGCTTTGGCATAGGCTCCGATCAGCAGCTGCTGCTTCCCTGGAATTGTTCTAGAGTAATCCCTCAGATACTTCGACAACTCCATCTCTATAGCGCCACCTCCAGCAACAATAGAGTCATTCTGTCGTGGGGAAATATGAGAATGTTCAGTAACATCTATGTTTGTAAATTTGTCTCCCCCTGCTGACAGTTCTTAAAACATTCTGAAATTAGGACTATAGTACTACTTTCCTATGTCATTCGGCTCACTGTACCTCAGAAATACTGACGAAAGGAAATCAAGGACAACATAAATCTGCAGTTGTAATCATTTGTAGCAAGAGATGAAGCTTTCCCCACCTTGATTGCTCTGCGCACAATCATGATGGCATCGTGCAGGGAGCGGTCCGTTTCCTCCATGAACTGCTCCGCACCACCCCTCAGGATGATAGTGCAGGTCTTGGCCTTCGGGCAGCCTTTGAAGAAGTTGTATCTGCAATGCAATACACACATAGTTACTTCGCATTTATGGAAAATGTTTACATTAAATCACTTATTAAAATCTCCAGTTTCATGGACAATTACATTCTGTATTTACATAAGAAAAGAAAAAAAACATACCTCTCTCCTCCAACCTGCACTTCTTCAAAGAGCTCACACTGTCCAAGCACATCATCAGTCAGGGCACCGACACTGGTCTGAATAGAGCCACCACAGGCCTGGAGGAGACATCGCAACTGCTTTAACTGCTATATGGTCAACAACACATCATTACCACGACCAAACCATTATTACATGTGCATAAGGCATATCTGGCATTAATTTACTCACGACAGCTTTCAACACTAAAAGAAAACTGGACTATACTCCAATATAAAAACAGAATGGAAGTACTGATACATAGCCAAAGCAAACTGACAGGATATACACAGGATACCACTATACCATCATAGTTCTCTTAAGATCTTCCTCCACAACACGGCCTGCACAGAACAGATCTCTGTCTGCAAAGTATTGTGTGGCCACATCTCCAATGGGCAGCTTTGACAGCACCACTTTAGCACCGGATTTGTAGATCTTCTCCAGCTTATCGTATAGGATGTTCCATTCAGCATCAACGATGGCCTGATATTCCTGCAAACAGCAGCCACATAAACATGTAGAAAAATTATTGAGTTTGTTTATATGAGCCATGATGGATTACAGACATGAGATTCTAATATGAATTTGCAGACTTTGGTATTAGTTAGTGTCACTGCAATAAATTACCTTGTAGAAGCTACAGAAAGCAGATAATAATTACGGGCCTTCACTTCTGCCAAAATAATGCCCAATTTAAAATGACAACTACACCATCATTTGCTTATGGGCCCAGTCCTTTTATCATTAGGCCTCAACAATCAAAGAGACAACCTGTGACAGTTAAGAGCAGTACTGACCTCCACCGAGTTGACACGGACTTCTGCATTGTCCTTCTCTGCCTTCAACTCCAGCTCAATGTTGAGCAGTGCGATTTTTGGGTTCACATAGCGCTTGGGCTGCATCTCAAAGCCAGCATAGGAGAAAGTCTTCTTGAATGCCACACCAGCTACAAGCTGAGAGTCCTGATAGACAGAAACAAAAACAAAGGACCGCAAGGTTAAAATCTACATCTGATTCTTTTGCTGCATTTCAATAGACAGACCTTTTCCTCCCCATTCTGCATATCTGTGAATATGACTGTTCAGCTATTCCACAATAATGATCCTGAATGTAAAGGGCTTTGTTCAGACTGGCGGCATATATCTGTTTTTGTCATATCCAACTAAAATATGTAGTTTCGTAGTCTGAAAATAAATAAATATTCCAGTTTTCATTCATCACACTAACAACTACTGTCAGTTGCTGCATGAGTAAAGGCTTTTGACCTGCTTTGCAGTCTGGAGAAAGTCAGAACCAGTCTGCATATTTTCAGTAGTACGATTTGACATTTCGTACAAAAACATGTATGATGGGCTGATTCAGATTTTCTAGCTTCAGACTAAGATTCCATCCAGTCAGAGGATATAAAGTCAGAGCCAGTTTTTAACTAATTTATTTTCATACACCTCCTAGAAACAAGCTGTATTTAGCGTGAGTTTGTTGTTTGAAATAAATTGCCCAGGTTTTCTCCATTTACAAAGTAGGCAAATGTGTGACACGTAATGTTTCAAAATCTATTTTAAAAGACGTGAGGTATATTCCAGTTTTAAGTCGTGCTGACCCAGGGCTCGCAAAATCGCTAGCCCGACGTCCCGGGGCTATTGTGTTTTACAGTCGGGCTACCAAAATGTTTCACCACCTTGCCCGACGGGCTATCTTGAACAGTTATATAAAATTCCTTCCTTGATTTGCGCTGTTCACTAGCTTGTAGGGGTAAAACGGATCATAGTTGATCGTTTGCACGTGTTTCTTGCCGTTTTAAGTCTTGCCGATTTAAACATTCAAGTGTTTTAAACCATTCACGCGCATTCGGAGTAGGGCTGGACAATAATTCAATATCAATAAGTATACGCGAAATAATTTTTTTCAATAACGGTGATATGATTTTTAAACACATTTCCGGTATTTCGATATACATTACCAGTGTTTCCCATACATTGATTTATTTGTGGCGTTTGACTTCGTTGAATAAACATGAGCACTGCACGTTTCAAAATCATAACACAGCGCGGGTGTTTTATATGAATGTATCTCTGAAGGGAACCGACTGTCTTCAGAAAAGATTCGATGGCATTTTCATTTGATCTGATAAAGTAGCATTCTTGAGCGGAGCTGCTTTGATTACAGCCGTTACTGGAGAAACCGCTAGTTTTATCACTCTAAACGCGCCTCCTGCTGGCAGAGAATCAGTTTGCATTTACAATAAGCCCGTCTCCAGCAACATTTCCAGTTTTGTTGTTGTTCAATTTTTTTGTTTTCTGCAGTGACTCTGAGCACTTTTCCTACCCTTTTTTCTGGCTGAAGCACATTTGTTTCAATCTATAAGAATAATCAGCCTACACTACCAGTCAACATTTTTTGAATTCACAAATTTTTTTTTTTTTTTTTTTAAGAATTCTCTTCTGCTCACCAAGGCTGCATTTATTTGATCCAAAGCACAGCAAAAACAGTAAAATGTTGAAATATTTTTACTATTTAAAATGTATTTCTATTTGAATACATTTTAAAATGTTATTTATTCCTGTGATCATACATAGGTAAATTGTCAGCATCATTACTCCAGTCTTCAGTGTCACATGATCCTTCAGAAATCATTCTAATATGCTGATTATCAATATTTAAAACAGTTGAGTACATTTTTTTTCCAGGATTCTTTGATGAATAGAAAGAACCAAAGATCAGCATTTATCTGAAATAAAAAGCGTTTGTAATATTATACACTATTCTATTCAGTATCATTTTTATTATTTTTTTGGGAAACACATTTTAGAAATTAATACTTTTATTTAGCAAGGATGCTTAAAATTTATCAAGTGATGATAAATGCATTTATAATGTTACAAAAGATTTCTATTTCAGATAAATAATGTTCATACCGATGTCGGAATTATATCGAATCGACCGAAATTAAGAAATATATTGTGATATCAATTTTGACCATATCGTCCAGCCCTAATTCGGAGCTGTGCGCACTCATTCAAAGCGTGCACAGAGAGCCGCATTTCAGACAATGCATGTACACAGAATCGATTCCTCTTTCGCATATCCTTTCATCTGAATGAACATACACACAAAATTATCTCAAAATAACTGTCCCGGCAAGTATTCTCGTAAACACAGTCGGTTATGCCTTAAGGCAGTGGTTCTCGCCCGTCACGAATTCAAATGCGGCCCACCGTGCTGAACACATTTTTAAAAAATACTTTCAGTTTTACAATTCATTTTAGTTATTACATTAATTAAAAAATGTACTAAATAAATATAAGCTATAGCCTAATATTTTTATGTAAAATAATTTTGTTTTTCATATATTATTTTCAGACATGAGCAGTACTCACATAGCCTAATTAACGTTACGCATTTAAAGTAACGACCAAGTGGCCAGCGGCAGACAGTGAGCATATGTTTGATCAATTTAGCCTTCTCAAATCATCACGACT